TAAACATTAGTCACGTCTATCACTCCTTTAAGACTTCTTATATGTGGTATATTATCCCTAAATTTCATAAAAACCCCTCAAGAATAAGTAGGAAATCAGAATTTAATCAAAGGAGAAAACACCTACTTAACATGTGACGACTTGTCACTTTAACCTCTATTTCCTTCAACCTTAAGCCTCGAACACGTCTTATAAGTCCTTAGCTCTTTACACAAGATAGATATAACTCTTCTAAGTCATATATGGCTCCATATGGTGCAAGGGAAAAGTCAAAGTTGGCTGCAAGAAGCCACCTCTTACCGAGACAGTTCATGCTAGGAGACTTATCACTTCAATATAAAATTGCTTCAACCTTAAGGCATCCAGCACGTCTTCTAAATCCTTAGAACTTTATATGAGATAGATATGCATCTCCTAAGTCACAAATGACTCCATATGAGATAGGAGAAAAGTCAGATTTGACTGCAAGGAGCAACATCCTACTTGGACACCTCATGCTTGGGGAATATTTGTCTTGTAATCTCAAATTCCTTCACCTTTAAGTATCACTCACAACCCAAATCCTTAAGACTCCTTAAATAGTTCCTAAATAAGAGATATGACTCTGTAAATATAACCCCAAGTGGACTTGAAAGCAAAAGAAGCAAAAAGGGATAAGAGAATAAGAAGCAGGAAATTCTGGACAGCTTTGTTACTTCACAGTTTTGAGGTTTGTATCCAATATTTCTTAAGGAGTTTATGATTTCTTAAACTTTTGAATTTGCTTGTGATTAGGATGGAGTGTTGTTAATGATTTTATGATGCCTAAATAGGGATAGTTAATTATAAGAATTTGAAAGAAAGTAATCTGGACAAAGATGAAGATTTGCTATATTTGAATGTTTTAAACTTTAATTTTGGATAATACTTAAGATATAACTTATATCTATGTAAATGAATGTTGTTATATGAGAGTTATAAGAATAGAAATGGTCTTCTAATATCCTGGAATTTGATTGATGACATGCCAGTAAAATGGAAACCGAAAACAGTAACAAGAAAAGAAAGTTGTCTGATTTGGAGTGGTAAAAAAGAGACAGTTTTTGAGGCTGAAAACACTTCATTTGTCACAAATTTAGATCATTATTACCTTCACATACATGTTTTAAAAGTGCGGTAAAAATTTGAGAGTCGTTGAATATGGTTAAGGGGGTGAAAAAGGATTAGAAAAATAATTAGACGGTAATAGAAATCTGAAAACAGATTCTGCCCATTTGTGTTTTTAATGTGATTTCAACCTTTAAATATCTATTAATTATCTCTTGGCCCTAGAATATAGATTCTAATGAATACTAGGTTGTCAACAACAATTGGATAACGTTTACGTTCATAATTGGACTCGAGAAATAGCGAAACTTTTGGGATTAATTTGTAATATCATCGGTAACTTGAAATAATGATGTCATCTAAATTGTTTTGGCGTAAATGGACATATTTTGGGATTGTGTGTGTTAAAGTTATTAAATGAAGGATCATCTTTAATATTAGATGATAATACAGGTGATTTTTCGACGTTGAGCGAAAAAGGAAATTGATATACACTCCATAGGAATTTGCACACACAAAAGCGAAAGGTAAGTAAAAATCCATTTTAAAGTACAATGCAAGAGTCTAGTATTTGTGATATGGTAATGTTGTAATAGTTACATAACTTTTGATAAGATGATTATTACACATCATATGATGTTTATGATCGTTGAGTATGAGGTTGAGGAACCTATTGACATCGATTCTCATTAGATATGTCATTTATGAGTATTTTTATCTGTAAGCACGACATGTGATCATTGTTAAAAATCCTGCATGTGAAACATGATTTCAATGTAAGTTTTCTATATAAATATTTTTATTGACCACTACTAGAGCACCGAGGCATGTGAAGTATGCTTATGTGATATGTTTGGTATCGCTGGCGATACTTCCTGGGTGATTGCAAAGGTAGATAGGGGATGGGCCTTTGGTGATCATGGAATGGTGACCACTCGACTGTGCCCTTGTGATATTATGGTTATTGACGCTGCCGGGTGGGAGACTTCTTGGGTGATCATAGACGTAGTTAGGGGATGGGCCTCTGGTGGTCACGAGAGGATGGTCCACTCGTTGGTGCTGATTTCCTATTAGCCATTTGATTATTGATATTGATATTATGTAGAGCTCTATCCGGTGCATGGTAGGTGAGTCAAGGGCCCAATGAAATAAAAGATTTCAAATGAAATGATTTCGAGTCGACTTTAATGAATATTGGAATATGATGCTTCCTTATCGTAATGTTTAAAGTAAATGGCATAGTGGCATATATCGTTATTATTCATATTCATGACATGCATGATTTTTTCTTACTAAGCATTGGTTTATGTAATTCTTACATTGTAGGTGAGCATTAGGCTGAGTCATCAATTTCATTTCCACACAGGTTAATGGATAATTATCTATATGAATAGGGGTGTGACAGTGTGTGTGTATATATATATTCAAAAAAATGAGGGTCATATAGAAAATTTATAACTTGTGGATTGTGGATCTCATACCAATGGCCTTGCGTCACCTATCCTCAACTTCCAATCTGACCTAATCCTAAGAACAAAGGTGGCTCTTTCGCGTATTACAAAAGAAAACACTCATCCCAATTCTAATTTAAAATAAACCAATGGCTCTTTCACTCTTCATCTCCAATACTAAAGCCTCTATAATTTCTTTTCTACTAACTCATACATGTCTTTAAAACTCAACATAAGTATCTCGTAAATAATTATTAGAAACCAATATTTCAATATTTTGAAAATATAAGAAATTTGCATTTTCATGCATTTCGTTAGTTTGAGTTTCATTTATAACACTGTTAATGCTATGTTGACTTATTGTAGCGTGTTTAGATAGATGTGTACGAACTATTCGGAAGATTTGTGAATTTTCGAGCAGATTTATAGCAAAGAATGCAATTTGAGCATTGTTAAACAAATTGTCTACTGAACGTTTGTCAACAACACGTTACTTAATAACTTTTTTTGTATTAAAATTAAAATGCATGTATGGATTCAATACTCCCGGCAGTTTATTGCTTTGTTAATTTTCTAAGGAATGAACATGAATGATGGACTAGGAATTAGGCCTTGAATAATGGAGAATATGTTGCCTTGCATCATGAATCCACTAATGCATCATGTACGGATGTATATCATGACGTACAAAAACCTCCTCAATGTTGAGTTTCAAGATGGAGCTTGGATTACATCTTTATAACAAATCGCATTTCTAAATTCTACCGATAAAGATTACTTCTGACTTTCAATTGAGTTGACCGGTTCAACTTAACCAAAAGCAACATGCTCATCTTTGCATAACTCTTGTTGGGAAGGATGACACTTAGAATAAATATGAAGTGAAAAAGTGGACCATACAGTGGATATTTTTTATATACGACAGAGATAGCTCAGGATAATGACATAGTAACTCCGAAGACAATTGCTACAAACCAGCATCTTATGTTACACATTGACCCCTTGAGATAGTATCTCATTGCTTTATCCAAATGACATTGCAAGCAATGAAATTTGGCACAATTGATTTCTTCGCTGTTCATCGTCATGCATGTGAGCGTACTAGTTAAGTGAGTATTTATCACAATGATCAGATACGCAAGATCATTTCTTTAAAAGACATACAATACACAAGTTTCAAGATTCAATGATAATTTACAGATTTAGACATGATTCACGACATTTATCGAGAATTTGGGATGATCACGAGCTATCAAAAAGCTTGAAATACTAAAGAACATAAGTTGGAGGATTTAATGATTTTATTCGAGGAGAATTATTACGCGTGGTCAGTGAGGGGTGAAGAAGACATCTTTTTCGCCGATCCAAATATCCTAAATATAAGTATTACAACTCCATCCTCAATGCAAACATCATAAGTTTATGCTCAATGGAATACAGATAATCAAGGTTATATTATCAATCCACAATTTCTAACGTAAAATTAAAAGATGAAAAAATAACAACTAATTGAACAAAATTTGAGAAAATGTCAGATTTTATCCTTGAATTGGAATTAATTACTTTCCTTCGCTTGTCTGAACTCGTCTTGAAGAAATTTTGTCATGTGAAAAAAGTGAAAAGAAAGGAGACAAAGCAACGAAACGTGAAGGGAGAGTGTTTGGGGAGAGAATATATTGGGAAAATTTTATTATTATTTTATATTAATAATTGGATAATTTGAGAAATAATAACACTACATAACCCACTGGAATTGTAAGTTGAGTTTAGGTGACGTTAGATAATAAATTGAATGAAAGTTGAAATTAAATAACTCATTTATTCCATCTATTATTTAATGTCACATAACGCCACCTAAATTGAAATTTCAACCTCAAAAAGACTAAATAGCATTACTCTTTGAGAAATGCAAAGTGGGTGAAAGGCTGACATGGCCGGGTCAACTAGCCATTGAGTCCAAAAATTTTGCTATTTGTATGCACCCTCCTTGTTGGAGGGAGGAACTCACGCCAATAAAAAAGAAAAAAAAAAAAGTATCAGACCCTCTCATGTGAGGGGGCGTGTCAACGCTGATGTATTGTAGCGCAACACTTAGGGGGTGTTTGATAAACATTTTAATGTAAAAATGCATTTTAAAATTGTAAATTGATGTGAAATATGTGATTGAAAAATAAGAAAATTTTTTTAATTTACGTGTAATATTATTTTAATAAAGAATGTGTGGTTGAAAAGAAGAGAGAAAAATTCATTTTGAAGAAAATTACTATCAAACAGACTTTTAGGGGGTCTTTGGGAGATATTTTTATGTAAAAATATATTTTTAAATAGTAAATTGATGGGAAATATGTTGTTGAAAAATAAAAAAAAATTAATTTACGTGTAATATTATTTTAATAAAAAATATTTGATTGAAAAAAAGATTGAGAAAACACATTTTGAAAAAAATAATACCAAACGGCCACT